AAGTAAAACTACCATCAATCAAATAAGTACAGACAGGTATTTTAGTAAAGCCAGAAAACTTTTAACTCCAGAGTTTTGGCTAGCAGCCACGAGCGTAACTGAATTACGCATGGACAAGACGTCAAAAACTCTAAACACAAAATACTTCAATAAACGGGACACTCTTCTTTCCTGCAAATTCTATTTCACAGGTGTTGCTAATACCTATGATTCTTCAAGGGAAGTGCTCAAAGAGGAGTTCAACATTATGAATAAAATATAGTGTTTTATTTTACAAATACCATTATAAACACAAACTTACGTCTTAAGAAACATTATTTTCATAACGAAACTGCTAAATTCTTTCCAACAGTATAGATGTGTAGTGTATTTTGTCCGAGTGGGTTTGCCGTACTTTGACGTCATCGGCAGTCGAAGGACCCCGAGCCAATTTTGCACCCGAGCAGATCTTGTACCGACACAGGCTTCGCAGGGGTGCAGTGGTTAGAGCTGTTGCCTTGGCCTCAGTAATCTTGTATTAAATTTTAAATGCGTTATCTGTTACCATGGCAACACAAGGAACTACATATCACTTTAACCAAGTCTCATAGGAATGAATATTAAAAAGCTGAATATTGAGCCAATATCAGTCTCCTGTTTTTGATCGTGTTGAACTATCTGTACTTAAAACTAGAAACACGTTCAATGTGATTGACCGTCAGAAGGTGGGAAAGTGCCCCGCTCCCTCCCAGCTCCCTGATTGGTTGAGAGCGGTCAATCATCTTCTGGCTAAATGGAATTACACACCCACGCATGTGAGACATCAAATCGATCGGCTTGGCCTAAGGAATCCATCCATCTACATATAAATCCATACATGCTTTTATCCATTCATCCATCCATCCAATAAACCATCTAAAATCCATCCAACAATCCATCCGTTATTTCATTCATCCAACCATTCATCCATCCCATATCAAATCTAAACATATGCTAATCTATCAGTTTCAGATATCAGCAAATATTTCTAAATTCACAGTTCATCCAATTGTAAAAATGTACCCGTTAAACTATTCTCATTCAAATGCCAGCTGTTTAACATTTCAAATTTTGAGTTTTTAATAAATGTTCAAAGATTAAAGTTTTCTGCTGTTTAGCATTTTTATCCATTCTTCACCTATATTCTGAGCTTTATTACACTTGTTGGTGATTTTTGCTTCTAAATCTTTAAATTCATTCAGCTCATTTTGACAGTTTGGCTTAGTTTCAGCTTCACTTCAGCTATTCAGCAGCTTCAGCAATCCGTTTCTGAATTCGGCTTCTGCTACTCATTTCACAGTTCAACTAAATATAAAAATTAAACTGTTAAACTAGTCCTACTCAAACAACAAATGTTTAGACATTTTTGCTGTCCAGATTTTTAAATAATGTTCAGATTTCAGTTTTCTGCTGTTTAGGATTGTTTTCTCCGTTCTTCACTTTTTGTGCTTTATTTACATTTTGGTGCTTTTTGCTTCTAAATCTTTCAAAACATTCAGCTCATTTTAACAGTTTTGCTTAGTTTCAGCTTCAGCAATTAGTTTCTGAATTCAGCATATGATGCTAATTTCACAGTTCAGCTAAATGCAAAAATTAACCTGTTAAACTAGTCCTACTGAAATAACAGGTGTTTAGACATTTTAGCTGTCCAATTTTTTTAAACAGTGTTCACAGATTTGAGTTTTCTGCTATTTAGGATTAGTTTTCTTGATTCTTCACTTACTTTTTGTGCTTTTTTTGCTTCTTGGTGCTTTTTGCTTTCACGTCTTTCACTACATTCAGCTCATTTGACAGTTTAGCTTAGTTTCAGCTTACTTCAGCTATTCAACAACTTCAGCAATCAGTTACCAAATGTAGCATAAATTGCTAATTTCACAGTTCAGCCAAATGTAAAGATTAAACTGTTAAACTTGGCAAACTGAAATAACAGGTGTTTAGACATTTAAGCTGTCCAGATTTTTATGCAATGTTCACAGATGTAAGTTATTTTTTGCTATTTAGCATTATTTTTCTCTATTCTTCACTTACTTTTTGTGCTTTATTTGCTTGTTGGTGCTTTTTGCTTCTACATCTTTCAAGACATTCAGCTCATTTTGACAGTTTTGCTTAATTTCAGCTTCAGTTCAGCTGTTCAGCAGCTTCAGCTTACAGTTTCAGCTATCCAGCATTCAAACAGCATTTGTGCAATAAATGCAATTTTTCTAGTTTTGGATTATAATCAGTCACTGTGAGTTGTTCTTCATGAAAATAGTCTCCTACACATTTTTTCTGCATTAGATCTGAAAATCCTGACAGATCTACATCACACTGTCACTTAACATTCATGAACTCTCCCATCTTGAATCGTGACAGGAAAGGCTGTAGTTGATTTAGAATCCAGGAAACAGCAGAGAACGTCTTGTCTAGTAGAAGCTAATCATTAGCATTAGCAACTCCACCACACAGCAGAACTCCTCCAGGCTTGTGTTATTTGTGGAGATAAAACATCAATGTTGCAAAGCAACTGGAGTCAGTGGTAGTCGTGTTGCTGTTAGCCAATCAGAAGCTAGATGTCCATATTTCAGGAAACAAGACTCCAAATCCTTTTGTCTGAGCTCTGACGTGGCTCACTTCTAGTTCCTGAAACAGGCGCACCAGAGCTTTGTGTCCCCCTGAGTACGACTTACAAGGCATTCATTCCTACTAGAGACCACTGCAAATGTATTGATCAGACAAGTGAATCACATCTTTAAAAGTAAACACAGAGGTACTTCAATCCTAAATGCAGTCAGACTTAGGATGAGCTGTGGTTCCTCACTGAAGCATGGTCGTATTTCTAGCCTCCCTCTCAGATTCACAGGCTTGAGATGTTCATTTCTTAGTTCTTGGTCCAGAATAGATCTGTCGCCAGCTTACAGAGCTGTCGTTAACAGCAGTCACAGCTCACTGACCTTCTCTGCTCGTCACATTCCTCTGCTCCCTCGCCTGCTGTTAGTTTTTGGTGTTTTTCCTCAACTAGTTGTTTTCTTTTGGAGATTAAGGTTTTATCTACGATATTCAGTGCCAAATACCAGACACAGAATGGATTAATTAACTGGAATGTGGGCTGGGGATGTACGAAAGACGCTCTCTGCTGCTCTGCAGTGCCTGTGCAGTGAACTACTATGATTACTGCGAACTGTCAGTCAGCTGGGATTGCTGTGAGTGGTCAAAAGGTATTTACCAGTAGCTAATTAGCTAAAACTCTGTCTTAATGACCTGTAAAGAAATGGCTGTTTACTATTGAGTCTGGTGTGTTTAGATATTTTATTAACTCTGCATGTCTGTTAACAAAATATCTCATGAAGCCTTGAAGAAGAAGAAAATATCATTTCTATAGCGCCTCTCAAGATAAAAATCACGAGGCCACCACAATCAATATCCAGTTGGATGGAAAAGCTTGGGACACACAGTGATGTTTGAGAAGAAAAACAAAGTTTATAGGATTTACAGAAAGTGTGCAATAACTGTTTAAACTAAATGAGGCAGGTGCATACATTTCAGAACCACAAAAAATAAATGAACTCAGTATTTAGGAGATCCTCCTTTTGCAGAAATAACAGCCTCTTAATACATCCTATGGCTTCCAGTGAGTCTGGATTCTGGTTGAAGGCATTTTGGAGCATTCTTCTTTACAAAACATCTCTAGTTCGTTTATGTTTGATGGCTTCTGAGCATGGACAGCTCTCTTTAACTCACACCGCAGATGCTAATAACATTCAGGTCTGGGACTGAGATGGCTATTCCAGAACGTTCTGCCTGTTCCTCTGCATTAATGCATTAGTAGATGTTGAGCAGTGTTTAGGGTCGTTGTCTTGTTGACAGATCCAGCCCCGGTGCAGCTTCAGCTTTGTCACTGATTCCTGGACATTGGTCTCCAGAATCTGCTGACATTGAGAGGAGTCCATGCATTCCTCAACTTTAACAAGATTTCCAGTCCCTGCGCTGGCCACACAGCCCACAGCATGATGTGACCACCACCATGTTTTACTGTAGGTAGCAGGTGTTAATCTTGGAATGCTGTGTTCTTGTTCCTCCATGCATAACGCCCCTTGTTATGCCCAGATAACTCAGTTCTAGTTTCATCAGCCCACAGCACCTCATTCCAGAATGAAGCTGCTTGTCCAGATGTGCTTTAGCAGACCTCAAGCAACTCTGTTTGTGCCATGGGAGGAGAAAAGGCTTCCTCTGCATCACTGTCACACACAGCATCTCCTTGTGTAAAGTGCACCAAATAGTTGAACGATGCACAGTGACTCCATCTGCAGCAAGATGATGTTGTAGGTCCTTGGTGCTGGTCTGTGGGTTCACTCTGACTGTTCTCACCATTCTTTGCTCTGAGATTTTCCTGGTCTGCCACTTGGAGCCTTAACTTGAACTGTGCCTGTGGTCTTCCATTTCCTCAATATGTTCCTAACTGTGGAAACAGACAGCTGAAATCTCTGAGACAGATTTCTGTCTCCTTCCCCTAAAACATGATGGATAACAATCTGTTTAAGGTCACTGAGAGTTGTTATGAGACCCCATTTTGCTGCTCTTCAGAGAATATTCAGAGGAGGGAAAGTTACAATTGCCCACATACTCTTTGTCATAGCTGGATTCACCGGTGTATGGTTAAGGGTCACTGAGCTTACCAAACCTATTCTGAGTTCCAATAATTTGTTCTAAAGGTTTTGTAATAAATAAAATAACAACAGTGCCCAAATTTATGCACCTGCCTAATTTAGTTTAAACAGTTATCACACACTTTCTGTAAATCCTATAAATTTGGTTTCACTTCTCAAACATCACTGTGTGTGCGCGTCTCCTTTATGATTTATTTAACGGACATTTTTTATCATAACAACCAATGATTTATTCAGGAGAGTCATGAGGATTAACAAGCCGGCCCAAACGTTCACATCCCACTGCACCCCAGAGAACACACTGGCTATAAATCTTCTCTCTTCTGTGTTCATCCTCAGGTATTTTCGGCCAGCGTTTGGAAGACACGGTGCAGTATGAGAAAAAGTTCGGCCCCCGCCTGGTCCCCCTGTTGGTAGAGCAGTGTGTGGACTTCATCAGAGAGAGGGGTCTGGATGAGGAGGGTCTCTTCAGGATGCCAGGGCAGGCCAACCTTGTCAAAAAACTCCAGGAGGCCTTTGACTGTGGAGACAAGCCTTTGTTTGACAGGTGTAGTGTTTTGTTTACCAGGCCTGACTCCTTACATAACTCACTCCTGGTTTAAACCTTCAAAGCCATCAAATAACATCAGAAAATGATATTGATTTTCTCATAAGGTTCATCTAATTATAAGTTAATACCAATAAAACATTTTATTATATAAAAATAAAATATTGCAACTGTATTAACTAATTATATTTGGCCATTATCTCCTGCAGTACTTAGATATTCCACAAGGAGGCAAAACACATGAATAGAGCTGAAGTCTGAGGAACGTACTAACCCTGTTACAGAGATAGAGGCCTAGGGAAATTAGGAATATGAACAAATATTTATTTGGTATTAAAGGGTTGCTGTGTACTTACTTGCAGTAATACAGACGTCCACACGGTGGCATCCTTGTTAAAGTTGTACCTGAGAGAGCTGCCTGAACCAGTTATTCCCTTCTCCAAATATGAAGACTTCCTCACCTGCGCACAGCTTTTAGCCAAAGATGAAGAAGAGGTCTGCACAGTTGTTTTCTACAGATTTTCTATTAGTGTTAATGTTTTTGAGACCACAACAATAATTTTAAATATGCAAATATATGTCAGGGGATCCAGAAGCTTGGAAAACAAGTAAACACTCTACCTCTACCTAACTACAACCTCCTCAACTACATATGCAAGTGAGTCCACCTCCTTTGGATAGGAGACATGTTTGGTTCTTTTCTAGTGTTTGAGGGGGTTCTCTGTTCCAGGTTTCTTGATGAGGTTCAGTCCCACTGCAACGAGAACAAGATGAGTGTCCAGAACCTGGCCACAGTATTTGGACCAAATATCCTCCGACCCAAGATGGAGGACCCTGTAACTCTAATGGAAGGTATACAGTGATGTGAAAATTAGATTGTAACATAAATGATTTGTTCTTTGTTGTTTAAAATTTATTCTAATCTAACCTCAAGAGCAGAAAAACACACAACAGGTTCCAGGTTATTATTTATTAAACGAAAAGAAAATGTACCAGGTCCGCTGAGCAGGTGTTCAACTTTCATATATAGCACATGTGTTGTGGTTCTACGATCATCTGTTGACCTTTGAGATTTTTGATGCACCAGCCTTTAGGTAGTAAGGTAAAGGTTAAAGGTCATGGTGGGACAGCCTGAAGTATAGTTTGTTTGGATTGAACTGGTGGCGTGTTGTTTCTACTCTTGACTTTAGACCTGGCGGAGATCCAGTTATTCTACAATGACAAGTCATTGAGATCAAGATGTTCCCCTATAGTGGCTGAATCATAAATTCCTATTGTACTTCAGTGACATCCTGACACGGTGTGGTCTACTTTGTCTAGGAACTTCTCTAGTCCAGCACCTAATGATGGTCCTCATCAGGGAACACAAGCGTCTGTTCTCAGGGAGGGACCAAGAGGGACCCCTTTTACCCCAAACTGAGATACCTATCCAGGGGCATCAGCTCCAACATCGCAGCTTGGGAGCCTGGATCTCCGAGGAGGACCTACAAAGCGCTCCTGTTTCCAACTCTGACCAAGAACTTCATAGCAGTGCCTCATCTCTGGATGTAAAGCTGTGCACAGCCATCACTCCCACCCAGACCTCAAACCCTGGACCAAAACTTGGGTCTGGGGCGAGTAAAGGAGAGATGGTGGTCAGCCCAAGTAAGCAAGCCAAGGCCATACCTTCTTGGAAATACACATTTAAAAGCTCCTCAGCTCCTCGCTCTCAGACACAAGCTAAACAAAGCACCACAGCTGGAGCGGTGGCAGAAACTACCAACGTGTCTACTGGTGGGGGTGGGAATGGAGGCAACTGGCTCATGAATGGCTTGTCATCCTTAAGGGGGCATCGCCGCACATCATCAGGTGAACGATCTGCCCGTGATCGTGACTCCACGGGTTCCTCCCAGAGACTGTCCACCTATGACAATGTCACCTCTTCCAGCCTGGGGAGCGTTGCCAGCGTTTCCAGCACACCGTGGTCCACTTCCTCATGTGAAATCTCTGTGCTCGATTCAAGCGTTGAGCCTTCAGCACTCCAGAATTTTGGAGGTGCGGTAGAGGATGATGAGAAGGCAGAGTGGATAGAGAGCCAGCACGAGCCAGAGAGAGAAGGGGATGGTGGGATAACGACCCAGCCAAGCTCAGAGCAGGACAGCTATGAAGCCATGGAGCTTTGCAGCAGCGCTGCCTGCAGCGAGAACGAAAACCTACCAGCAGCAGCTGGGGTGCCATCCATCATTATGACAGAAGACGGGGATGGGACAAACCTAACTCTGAGCAGTCTGACGGAGGGACTGAAGGACGAGCTAAAAAAACAGAAGTCCACGTATGAGGCCAGGATTCAAAAGTAAGTCTACTTACTCTGGCAATAAAATACTGGGTTTATTACCAGTGTTGGGAGTAACGCCGTTTAAATATAACGGCGTTACTAACAGCATTCTTTTTTAGGTAACGGAATAATCTAATTAATTACTTTTCCCACTGTTGCAACGCCATTACCATTACTGGGTACGGAACGTTGTGCGTTACTATGTGCTTGTCGAACGTTGAGCAACAGTGTGAGGCTTTCTGACCGCCACACTTCAGCTGCAGCCAGGGAGAGAGAGGTGTCGGTAACGCGCTTACAAACACGATGATGATTGGCCGGGTGGGCGGAGACCCTCACTGTCTCAGTCACTGCATGCTGTAGACACTACAGAGCAGTGATGGGAATAACGCAGTTTAAAATAACCACGTTAATAAAAAAAAATTTCTTTCTGTAACGAGCAAACTAATTAATTACCGTCTTCTTTTAACAAAACGTCGTTTCTGTTACTGATAAGTAAATGCAGTGCGTTAAGCAGCACGGTGTGTTGAAGCTGTCATCAGCTGATCAGGAGCTCAAGAGGTAGATGTTTTCATCCAAGCGCATCACGGCCCGTGAAGAACGAGGAAGACGTGATGAATAGTCTACAGCTGCAGGTGCGGGTCTGCAGCCGTGCTCTTCGTAGCGTGACAGCGGGACGTCCCGAAGGTCCGCTCACCTGTCCACCGCTCAGACTTCCTGATCTTCTACCTTCCTAGATCATCCAGCTGTAACCTGTTTCTGATCATGTCTTTAGTCCCGCTGTAACACTGATGCATCAGTCTCAAACGTCATGGAGCTCAGGTGTTATCAGAACTACCTGTGTGTGTTTACCACCCAGCTTCAGCTCTTCTGTGGTTGGGTCTGACCCAAATTAGTAAATGTAAGTCCTCCATCATGCTTGTGCCTCTTCTAGTGTCATTTTAAAGGATTGTATTTATTTATTTAACCATTACTAGATTACCAGCAACAGAAATGCTGCTAAAAATGCACAATTATGTGAAGCTGGAAAAATTAAAATGCTGTGCAAAATTACATTTATTTCTGTAATTTAACTAGACTGAGAGACCATTTAAAGGCTCAGGAACCTTTACATGTGTTTCTATTTGCAATTTTAAATTTTAGCTGATTGGGGTCTTGTTAAATATCACACAGTGACCTTTAAATAGTCTAGATAAGTGTAATGTTCCTGTTAGTAGTTCCTCCTGTTAAGTGCTTATGTTTTTAAATTATTCAGGTTTATAAAAAACATTTGGACATACATTGTATTATGTTCCAGTCATTAGTCATTTATATTTCACTATTGTAGTCATTCTTGCCTGCTTTAATGAAAAAAGTAACTAAGTAGTTATTTTTCTTGGTAATTAGTTACTTTTATAATCTTGTAACTCAGTAACTGAGTTACTTTTTTGACAAAGTAATCAGTAACTATAACCAATTACTTTTTTAAAGTAACGTTCCCAACACTGTTTATTTTCTAAGGGTCTAGAAAATGGAGAATGGCCTGTATTTATGTAGAGCCTTCTAGAGTCCTACAACCCCCCAAGGTACATTCACACTCTGATGATGAGCTATGCTGTAGCCACAGCTGCCCTTGTGTACACTGACTGAAGCGAGACTACCATACACAAGCACCAACAGATCCTCCAACCACCACCAGAAAGCCAGGTGGCAAGTTATCCATGTCTAGGGTCACAGAAGCCGCGATCAGACAGAGATGCGCCGAGCTGCGGTAAGAACCAGCCGGCAGCCCGCGCAGCAAACAGAGATTCATGGTAAAAACGACTGATTGTCTCTTTAACAGGTGGCACCAACTCAAAATGTCTTTAAAATCATGTCAAAGACCTTTAAACACAAAAAATTATCTTTCAAAGCTGCAAACCAGCAAATTCCATTGTTGTGGTTAAACAAAATTGTTAAATTAAGTTTGAGGACCTTTTAAACATTTTTTAATGCGATAATACATTCAAGACATTTAAAAGGGTATTTTCATTGAAACAGTCAAATCAAGTGTTGGTGCACTTTGATCTGTTCTGTGCCCGTAGGCTGGAGGAATCCAGTGCTGCTCTGAGTGCCCAGATGCAACGCCTAGAGCAAGAAATGGAACAAGAGAAGAAGAAGCAGCGCATGCTGGAGATCAAACTGAGAAACTCTGAGCGGGCAAGAGAAGATGCTGAGAACCGCAACCGCCTCCTGGAGAAAGAGATGGAGGACTTCTTCTCCACTCTGGGTGATCTAGCTCTGAGCACGAGGACAAGCAACATTTGATGAAACACAGTGTTTGATTTGAAGCCAACTCTGTGGGGGACCTATACAATTCTGTGTGCATTATTAATATAACAAAATATGTGAAAAATGTTGCACATTTCCAATAAACGTGAACCCGATGTGTGGATTTACAGAAATTCTTTAAGGAAATGTTTCTCTTGTTAGGAAGTTCTCCTTTCATGTTAATATAAAGAAGGTGCTCCTTTGATGAAATCACTCTCAGTCCAGGGTTTTCTAGTTTGTGCAACATTTCAGTCCCAAATCTGCTAAAACTGTTGAATCGTCAGAAACGCCAGATTAACACCTTTCTCATAGCCTTAAACTCTAAAGGATAACAGCCTCAGGTTGGACAAACAGAATTTAACAAAAGGCATCGGTGTCAGGTGGAGCGTTAGGCTAACCCCTATTTCACACTGGAAGCATTAGCGGCGCGGAACGTCGCTGCTTCACATAGAATCCATTATAGTGTATGGGGGTTTCAAATCAGCCATGATTTGGCCATTTTCAGGCTCAGAAGCGGCATGTCGTGCCACGCCATTTAAGATAAGATCAGGTTCTATATTTGCCATGAGCTGCTTTTGGGACACATCAATTCCCACAGTTAACATAGGGCTAGACATGAAATCACACAGTTTCAGTGTAAAATCCTTGGTAATTTGCAATACAAAAGTACTGCAGCGATGCGATTTCAGCTGTGTGTTTTACATGGCTTTAATCCTGATAGTGGAGAGGAACATCATCATATATGACATCATCCAGCGATTTCAAACATGATCGCTTCTTTTTGGTTTAATGGCAGATTGCATTAACAAACTGTGCCCTTTGAATTCTCAAGGGATCTCGTGATCCCGCGAGTCCAGCGAGGAAGCCGTTCCACAGTCAAGACTCTCCCAGTGTGTACTGGACCACAATGAAGCTCGCGAGTAAAACGTAGGGACAGCAGTCGAAGATTAGAAGTTGTATTGTCCCGTGATCAGATACCAACGACGTCCCATGAGAAACATTTTTAAGTAAAATGTGTGGTGCATTTGGTCAGAAGGGTTATCTAATAGAAAAATCAAGTAAAACATTTGCTTGAACCATAATAAAATCTTTGGTACACGTTAGTGGTGTGAGGTGAACGAGTCAAGCTTTTCTTTGTCACAAAGCACTTGATTTTTTTTCTGTCTTTTCTTTTTTATGGCAGTTGGACAACAGCAAATGTACAAAAATGTTGTATCCACTTTTAGATCATTGATGATCACATGTGACTAACGTATTCCTTCTCTGGTTCCCTGCACCCATCCCTGACACTTGCACATCGATGGCCCGGTACAAATATTAGCACCGTTAACACCCTTGCACGTTTTACGTGGGAAACGTTTGTGTTACAGACCACAGACTGACTTCATCTCTAGATTAAACAACCATCTAAGTGTTTACAAAATAACATTAGAATGAGCAGCTGAGATACTTTGAAGCAATAGTTTAACATTTAGAAAACAATTGGCTTTCACGTTTACCACCATCTATGTCTGGATACAGGGGATGCCTCCTTTGAGGACCACATTTGAAGGCTGATTACGCCACAGCAATGAAGGCTGTCACAATTTCAAGGCTTTTTTCGTTTGTAGCCTACAAATGCTTCTTTCTTTTCCTCAGATTTAAAGGACAGGTCTGGTGTATCCTTCGTGGCCTACGCTATCCCAAGATTCATTCCAGGCCGAACGGGAGATTTCAGTTCTTGTGTTGATGGTGGATGAAGTGGGAGAGGATTACAGTATTAAATAATAAAAAATGGGGGTGAAATGTTAAAAATTAGTTGCGTTATTGGACTTTTGTTGTTTGTTTCATATGCTGGCTACAACAGTAAAGCTGCTGTTGCTCCTTTGAGGATAAACTATGAAAAAAGCTCAGCAAAGTTTCGAATTTTGTTTTGACTCACTTCCGTCTCGTCTCGTCTCGTCTTCCTCCGCTTATCCGGGTCCGGGTCGCGGGGGCAGCATCCCAACTAGGGAGCTCCAGGCCGTCCTCTCCCCGGCCTTGTCCACCAGCTCCTCCGGCAGGACCCCAAGGCGTTCCCGGACCAGATTGGAGATGTAACCTCTCCAACGTGTCCTGGGTCGACCCGGGGGCCTTCTGCCGGCAGGACATGCCCGAAACACCTCCCCGGGGAGGCGTCCAGGAGGCATCCTGACCAGATGCCCAAACCACCTCAACTGGCTCCTTTCGATCCGGAGGAGCAGCGGTTCTACTCCGAGTCCCTCCCGAATGTCCGAGCTCCTCACCCTATCTCTAAGGCTGAGCCCGGCCACCCTACGGAGGAAACTCATTTCGGCCGCTTGTATCCGCGATCTCGTTCTTTCGGTCATTACCCAAAGCTCATGACCATAGGTGAGGATTGGGACGTAGATCGACCGGTAAATCGAGAGCCTGGCTTTCTGGCTCAGCTCCCTCTTCCCCACGACAGATCGGCTCAGCGTCTGCATCACTGCAGACGCCGAACCAATCCGCCTGTCGATCTCCCGATCCCTCCTACCCTCACTCGTGAACAAGACCCCGAGATACTTAAACTCCTCCACTTGAGGTAGGACCTCTCCCCCGACCCGGAGGTGGCAAGCCACCCTTTTCCGGTCGAGAACCATGGTCTCAGATTTGGAGGTGCTGATCCTCATCCCAGCCGCTTCACATTCGGCCGCGAACCTACCCAGCAAGAGCTGAAGGTCAGAGCTGGATGAAGCTAGGAGGACCACATCATCCGCAAAAAGCAGAGACGAGATTCTCCTGCCACCAAACTCGACACACTCCACACCACGGCTGCGTCTAGAAATTCTGTCCATAAAAGTGATGAACAGAACCGGTGACAAAGGGCAGCCCTGGCGGAGTCCAACCCTCACTGGGAACAGGTCCGACTTACTACCGGCTATGCGGACCAAACTCACGCTCCTCTGGTAAAGGGACTGAATGGCCCTTAACAGAAAGCCACCCACCCCATACTCCTGGAGTGTCCCCCACAGGGTGCCCCTGGGGACACGGTCATAAGCCTTCTCCAAATCCACAAAACACACTTCCATTTAGCTTATTCATGGTTGCTAGGCAACATGACATACACCAAAATAAGGGCACGAATAAACATGAAGGCTAGATTTCACAGCCGCTTATGATCTCCCCAGTCAATGAAGAACCAGGCTTACGCTGACAGTGTAGGATGGGTCCTTTGAAGGATGCAGCCTCTGAATTTAGACACAACCACAGTCTACCTGTAGAAGTTGCATGGAGCTAGCTGGTATTTAAGTGCTAGCCTACAAAACAAAACCTCAGACAGCAAAATGGCATGCAACATCTTATTAGCATTGTGCCATGAGCACAACCAGAAAGGTTCTAACAACAACTTTAACAGGGAAATAATGGCCCATTTGACATCAAAGCTAACTTAGCGTTTAGCAACTGGATTTTTTTAACCACACTTAAAACTTTAAATTCTGGAAAATTGTCAGCTCTATTTTGCACTACCAGGTCAGTTTGTGCTTGTGAGTGTGTGACAGCTAAATGAAAAGAATCTGATGGGCATCTCTAGGTGAACAGACTCTAAACACAGCAGGACCTTTAGCAGTCCTTCCTGTTTTTATTCTATCTGCCTCCATTTATACTGCAAGCATTTTTATCAAGACTGAATGTAAAATTCAATTTTGTACATTTTAACAAAATCAGTTTTCACAGAACAAGATGTTCTCGTTTTTTTATCTCATGAAAAAACAAACTGAATAATGCAAAGGACTTTAGCCATAGTTGCCTCAAACCCGTCCTAGTTCTCAGGCTACCCCACACTGACCACCTTCATCTCCATCTAAGTCCATTTGATGGCAAAACCTCAATCTTCATCATCCTCACTGATGCCATAACAGCCAATTAGTTCCTTACATCCTGAGGCCTGACTCATTTACCAAACCCTAAATATCACAGCTGGACTGCTTCAGCTGTTCACCCACAGGACATCAGAACCAGCTGCTAGAAAACCCACAACCAATCAGAAGGAGCTGCTCAGAAGCCATGCTGACTTTGGCACATGAAGCTGAACACTGCCCTTAGAGAAACAATGGAGCTTCCTGGTTATGCCTTCAGGGAAGTGCTTTTAAATGTAAAAATAACAATGTCTTGATGCTTGCCTGTGCAGCGATGTGAATATATGTGAACCACTAGTACACAGGGGCAGTGATGACTTGTGATTTTGAAATGAACTGATGTTACTGAACACATTATTGGTGCCAACTCTTGTGCTGATCATGTGAACTGAATGAAATTTCTGCTTTCAGAATGTGTCTTTATCGTGAATGTGATATTAACAAAACCAGCCCTGGGAAAGAAATATTCAACAGAAAGAAACATTTTTATTAGATTAATCTGACTGCAAAACAGGGTACCGTTGATCATGTGAGGACGTTTGTTGCAATGTAACCCAGTTAGCTAGAAATTTATTTTAGAATGGATCTTGTAAGAATTGCATGTGATAAATACTTTATCAATTAATCACCAATCAGAAAAATGTAAAGAAATGTCAGCAACAGTTATATCTTAAAGAACCCTTAGATCAGTGTGGTGTTATATGAAAGTGTGCTTTTGACTGGACACTGTAACCCATGCGTTTGATTCCACCCTCTTCATTTTTTGGTGGCTCAGGTTTAGAGACATTCATCTCATGGCTACAGTGCTCGTCTCTTCTTCCCATCCATGGTGCTTATTATGAACTTCCATTGTTGTAATTAAGTGCAGCGATTCAGAATAAAGCTGGTAAATAGAGACAGTGGTGACCTCGAATGTTTGAAATGGAAAACGAACATCCTTCGTTCATAATTGACTAAGTTTATTTTCAGAAGTGTAAAAAAGGTAAAAGGTAAGTTTGGTCTCAAAGAAAATATTTTTACACAATTCTGTGGTGTGTTTCTGTGAAAAATAACTGTTCCTACAAACTGAAGAAACATTGGCATTCCACCTGGATGTATCCTTAGCCCCCTCCAATTCACAATACTTACACAAGGGTTTTCTGTAAACTATCCAGGCAGTTTTATCATGAAGTTAGCTGATGACACCTACGTTTTTGGTTTGATTTCTACCAACTAGGAGTCTATAAGAGTGAAGAGTAAGAGCTTGCAGACTAGTCTGAAGCACCAGTGTGGCAAATATGAAATAAGACCGTGGATTCAGGTGACAACAGTATTATCTTTGGGTCTTAAGATATCCACTGACTTTACATTGACCACGAACACAACAAGTATCATTCAAGTGGCAGTGTATAGTTTCCTGCAGTTAGGGTGCAGTACATATGTACATTTCAGAGTAGCTTTACAACATATCGCTGTGACCGTCGCTAGTTTAAGAAAACATTACAGTAAATGTTACCTGTGGAGCAAAGGTTCCTGCACCTGCTGATTTGTTTGGCCAAAATATATTGCATCCCTTTTTTGATTCTGTACTTTCACGTTTAGAAAGTGTTTAGCTGTTTCGTTATTAATTTCATGTTTCTTACTGTTGAAATGTTTTTGAACGTGACAACGTAACTTCCGTAAGTCGTACGTCCAACCAATCATCTAGTGTGACGTCACAGACATGCACAAGACCCCGAGCCAGCCAGAAGGAAACATGGAAACAAAGACGCTAGACCTGCACCCTATGTACTTTAGACCCAATTTTGATGGTTGTGTGTCACAAAGCCGCCAATATTTTTCCAACGACTGGACATCATTTTATTAATTTTCAAAGTTCAAATGGATATCTCCAGAGATCAAAGGTAAAAACTACACATCGTCTCTTAAAAATGATGACACTCATCCAACCTATGGACTATTCACCCTTTTATTCAGGCAGAAGACTGAGCAGCTTCTGTGGCAAAGAAAGCTTACTCTGAGACTTCTGAACTCTGACGCATCAGCATTCTTCATCGTTTCCTTCAGTATTTTAGACATCTGTGACTTTGCGTCATAACACCTTTGATGTATAGACGTGAAGCTGGATTATTTTCGTATTCCTGACAAAATATTCTTTCAATGACAACTGACTACAATGCAAATGTGTAGGTTTCAGAGACGCACTTCAAAACAGCCTCAAATTGTCTTTAACTTGGTAACAAAAACACAAACCTCATAAAAGAAAGACACACTCACCAAATAAAGTGTATTTCTTTAATGTGCAGTACATTTTTCAGAGGTGGCACTGAATTCCAAGTGCCTATTCTTTATTTTCATTGGTTGCAGTTGATGTGCAGATCCAGAAATTCTAACTAGTAGCATGGCTGAAATCTCTAGCAAATATTACAAACCAGCACCATAAAATAACGTGACTCCTTGTAGGTATTTACTCACTTGTTTGTGTTTCTTAACATACTAATAACCCTTAGATTACCATAATAACAAAAAGTCAGACCAGTGTGAGTGAAATAAACTGGCTGAAATTTTTTAGGGTAAGACCGAATATGTAACATCATAACTATAAAAAAAATCACAGAAATTAAAATTGATCTTATTCATAAAAAAGGAAAACATGGATCGACAGTACCAAACTTTTTTTTTTACCTTCAGAGGACAGCTAACACAGGCTAAGCCCATCACGTAAAACTAGCAGTTTGCTGAAGGTATTGCACATTTAGGTAAAAAAAAAAAAAAATTAACAAAAGAAAAAAATAAAGAGAACTAGAAATACATAACAATTCTCTTATTTCAGGGTAAAGTATACATAATGTACAAAACTAGAAGTCTGTTGAATCTGACAAATAGTACACTTTCAAATAAATAAATAATGGAATCTGTTATTCACACACCTTCGATAGCTAATTCTGCAGGCGACAGAATATTTGCAAGAACTGGCAGAAATTCAGCATGAGGTAGTTCATCAAAGCCGACCTAAACCAGAAGAAAACTGCTCAGAGATGAAATAATACTTTAACTGCAACAAGAAGAAAAGATTGCTCAGATAATTCCTCCTAATGTTGAGCCAAAAAGATTAAGAGCACTTTTGTGAGTAAATCATTTTCTCCAGCTAAAATCAGAATTGTTTATTTTTCCCCCTATTGTTCCTGCGTGCCGACCGCCATTAAACAGATATCTTTCTCTATTCTTCATATTGGAAATTTACTTTCACTCCTTAAAAGCCGCATAACTGCTGCAGTTAGGTGTTATACTTTAACTATTTGGCTTAACTTAAAAGTAAATGATCAGTAATGTTTTCACTTATTGGTGGTAGCAGCTGTTACTATTTAAGGGTTCAAATAAATATAAAGTCCAAACTTGGAGTCAAATGATGAAAACAAGGTCCGTCGAACTAACAAGTAGAGGTCATGTGCATGCCGATTTAAGCGTTTAGTCTTTAACAGGTTATTAGAACAGTTCAGTGATTAAGTGTAAGTATCAAATATTTACAGTAGTTCTCTGGTAAACATATTTCTGTGTAGTTAGGGGACAAGCTAAAGGTGTCTTAATAAGCTTTTCTGCAGCTTTAGTGTAGCTGACAGACAAGCAAATGTACATATGAAGCTATTTGAAATATTTGACAAAGTTTGAATTATTTGTAGCTTTAAATCCACAGGTGTGCTTCTGTCTAAGCCAACGATTTTATCAATACGTTTAACAGAAACACGAACGAGAGCGAGCAGATAAACACGGCTAATATTTGAGTGTTAGCTTGGGAGAACATGAGAAGTTGTGAAGCTAGCTGACAAGCTAACTCCCAAAACTCCTGGACTGCATCCCCATTTGTTTAATGTTTTGTGTATATTTATATAAACCGTGCCCATGTATGCTCTGTGCCACTAATGTCTGTCACAATAATAATAAGGAATATATGTTGGAGCAATAGTTCGGACAATTTGGGGTTTTTGTACAACTGCAATAAACAATAATATTATTTTGGCTGTACGGTCAGAGTTAGCACTGTCAGTGGCCTCAATTTGGATATAAAAGTCATTTCGTTGATTCTCCCAGCTGACCAAGACACATCTGGTAACACACTTAGTCAAGTGAGTAGTGAGTATGATCAGATAGATAAACTAACGGCCAGGCTCAGAAGGGCAATTACCTTCGATTTATGCAAATGGCCGCCTTTAGTTTAGGCCCAAATGTATTGTGAGGGCCTGCTGAGAACGTCTGGCGGAGCCTCCTGTCAGACGGAGCCAGTGAGGAAGCAGAAGCTGGGGACTTTGTGTCGGGCTCTCCAATCTCTGGAACGCCTTGGGATTCCCCCGGAAGAGCTGGCCCAAGTGGCTGAGGAGAGGGAAGTCCGGGCGTCTCAGCTTAGGCTGTTGCCCCCGTGACCCGACTCCGAATAAGCGGTTGAAAATGGATGGATGGATGGACCGCCATTAGTTTTCATTCAATGTTATGTAAAATAAATTTGTGAGCACATATAGCATATTCCTGTGGGCAGGAATATCTCCTGTAAGACACCATGTCAGACACAGCAGAAATCGTGGTATAAAACTATGAATGTTCTCATTCTACTGTGACTAGCCATTAGCTTATCAATCCAGTTAGTGGTAATCTCATTTTGTTCCAGAATGAGACCATCTAAAAGCATCCTGTTTGTAACATTTTCACACAACCCTTCTGAAAACCCTGAAACACTAATAATAAAACAGGAATAAAGCCTAAATGAAAGCTTGGTTTTTCAGCACATTTCAAACTGACTTCTCTTACAAAACGCCAACAAGGAAAGTGGTTTATTTTTCTGCTGTGTTTAGTATGGAACTGATTTTTAAAGTTTTGACGATCCAACTTAAACATAACAGCTGGCCACCACCAGAGAGAGGAAGCTGTAGTGCAGTTGCATTAATTGCTAAACGTAATTCTACATTCAGCCTTACATAATTTTCCAAACGGCAGCAGCTGGGAGATAAATAAAACTTTGCAGCTCCTACACACTACTTTATAACATTATAAACTGAATTTTATGCCACTGTTTCCTAGCAGCCGTGTTAAAGAAACAAAGTTGAGCAATGGTTTCTCACAGCTGGTACCACAAACTTTACAGAACTACAGCAACACTGTGGTAGACTGGCTCTGTTTCTGTAACAAAACCATCCGTCTACGTTCCCAACAGCTATCAATAAGCAACGATAAAAACACTCAATAAAGTAGAAGAAACAAAAAAATTCTCTCTTACAATTATCCGATTTAGTAAGCATTCATGAAAGGTAATAAAACGTTTTCTGGTCATCGTCACTGCAAAAAAAAAAAAAAAAACTTCTAACTTTGATGAAAGACCTTGATAAACCTGCCTTTTCTTCTCAAATCCTTTCATTATTAAGCACCTCGATCTCATCGTCTCACGCCCTTAAGACAGCACCCTCCTGCTCCTGAGTCCAAAACATAAAATCCAAAATAAGTAGAAAAATATAATTTGTGAGAACCACAAACCCGTCACACGCTATTGTTCTGTCATGGAAACTACAAAAACTCACAAATCCTCACAGGCTATCAGGAATGAAGGACAAACAGGCACTTATCCTTTCAAAGTAAAAGCAGACACTCCACCAGGTAACGTTATTGCATCCAGTAAGAACTCGGGCTGGATTTGCTAATTACTTAGGTTGGATTTAAAACGCCAAGCAAGTCAGAATAAAAGAGTTGAATTACTTACGGATTTTCTTCGTCTCACTTCCAGAATCTCTTCCCACTTCACGACATCACACATCAATCACATTCTCAAGCTTCCCCAATGTTCCCTACTTGACCAAAGTACATTTCATCATAACTGATCAGAAAACCTCTCCATACGTCTTGAATAAAAAAGCAAAACAACCGTCCCAAAGCACAACGAAGAACATTCCACAGTCCCAAACGGTTACGGAGGTCCTCTAAAGCACTTAGAACAACAGAGACGGTCGTTAGGTAAGATCCCGCAGAACCTACGTGTGTCGTCGCGTAAACTCCAACTTCAGCGACAGATTCCAAAGCCTTCGTAAAAAGTAAAACTTTACAACGTAGTTCTCGCAAAAATGTTGTATTTTGTTTTTTTACAAATAAATCTAAATAATCTCGGTATAAATAAACAGACATGTCTGATGCCTGAAAACATTATCCTTATTACGTCAGGTAAAAACATCCACTGGCACTGCTAAGACCATCCATTTGAACATCGAATCAGGTTTCAATGGCTCACTGCAAATCTACATTTAACTTCATTAAATCTGTACAAACTCAATCTACGTTTATATGGCAAGTCGAAGAAGTCGCCGCTTACAAGGAAAAACAAACTAAAAAACAGGTCACATTAAAATGTCTTATAGGTAGATCCGTATTTTCTCACTAAAACAAGAAAAAACCAATTGTTCCATGTTTGTGGGAAAAAAGTAAGAAACGCAGAAATAAATTATAGCTGGACAGGAAGAAATTATAGTTTGAAACAAGGTAATAAAATTCTATACATGTTTAAAAAACTGAGAGAAAAGTTTGGTAATCAGGCTAAAAGATGGAGAGAATACGATGAGTGGCGCCGCCGTCAGGTCCTGGGGGTAGCCATGAAGTGCAACTACAACCAAAACCGGGATGATGGCCTGATAGTCATCTGCAGCAACCCACGGGGTCAGAGGTGGGCGGAGCAGCAACTGCGGTGGTGTTGGCCGTCTCCAGGCTGCTGTCCGTGTCAGTCAGCATCGGGTCGGTGGACATGGAGGTGGAAGAGGAGGGATGGTGCTGGTGGTGCTGCTGGGGGCTGCTGCTCACTGCTGCACCTGTGCTATGAGGAACAGGAGCAGACCTGTGGTCAGCCACCAAGTTATCACATCCACACCAGCATGCTTAATATCCTTCACAAGCTTACAAACAGGCCACCTGCTTTGGCCCTCAGGAGCCATTCTCCCTCCTGGGAGATTAGCACTGAGTCCCACAGGACTGCGGGGATATCAGCCCCAAGCAGGACATTAGCTCAAGGTCAACTGAACACAGCTGAAGCATAATAAATACTTTTGACTGAACATGTAGAGCTGACAGGGATTTTGTGCAACAAGAAATACTTGACGATTTAAACTGAACAGAAACTACTCCAAATCTCCAAAGAGGCTAGAGTAAAGCTGAGCAGAACAACCGTGCTCTCTAACCTCCACTAACCTATGGACGCAGGCTGGCCCCTGATCACTCCGTTCTTCGTCCTCTCCTCCCAGTCCAACACTTCTTTATAGATCAACTCTGCGAGCAAAACAAAAGACTTTTGTTAATCCATAACTGCTTAACCAGCTTTAAAAGCAGGAATCCATCTGTTGCACTGAATTTTAAAGGCCAAGTTAGTAGAAGCTAATCGTTAGCATTAGGGCCTCCACAACATGCTAAAACTCCTCCAGACTTGTGTTATTTGTGGAGATAAAACATCAACGTTGCAGAAAAAACAGAGTCAGTGGTAGAGTTGCATTGTTGTTGGCCAATCAGAAGCAAGATGACAAATATCAGGAATAAATGCTCCAGATCCTGCTGTGCTCTGCTCCAGAAAACTTCTAGTTCCTGAATCAGGAGCACCAGAGCTTTCCCCCCACAGGGTTCGACACAGAAGGCCACTGCAAATGTATTGAAAAAAAGTTGTGAACTTGGTCTTTAATGCAAAACTGGAAACCATTATAGACTTTTAGCAAAACAAATGCCTAATTACCTGGAAATGTCACATTTTCTTCCAAAAATGACAAAGAAAGCCCCTTGAACTGGATTCTATACCAACACATTTCTTTGTTCTTTTGGAAAACAGTTACGCTAATTTGCTGCAACATCGAGCCAGCCTCACCCCTACTGCAGACTGGAAGCAAAAGCGGCGCAGAACGGCAGTGGAAAGGTTTACTCGCGACAATCATGGCACTCAGGGAGAGTCTCAGCAGTGAAGCGGCGTCTCTGCCGTGCTCCTCGCTCGACTCGCGAGATCACACAATCCATCGAGACTTCAAAGGTTATGGTTTGTTTATGCCATCCGCCATTAAACCAAAAAGAAGGAAAACCCGTTTTAAATCACTGTTTGGTGTCATATGTTATTCCGCTCCACTGCCAGGAATAAAGATGTGAAAAACACGCCGCTGCACCTCTGGAATAATGCTGAGTAAATAAGCTTTTAGGCCACACGTAAGCTTCATATACGTATATGAAATTGCATCGCTGCAATACTTTTATTTTGAAAATTGCAGGGATTTTTACACTGAAACCGTGTGTGATTTCACACCTAGCCCAATGTTAACTGCGGAAATTGACGTATCCCAGAAGGGGCTCGTGGAAAAAGAAGTGCTCAACCCTATTTTTACTGCCTGAAAATTGGTGGCTGGTTTGTTACACTCCATAGACTATAATGGAATCTATCTGAAGCGGTGCCGTTTCACTGCCCTTCTGGGCCGCCTTTGCTTTCAGTGTGCAGTAGGCGTCAGGGAGCCTCATGTCGTTTATAAGTGGTCAGACTGAGGTGGTATTTAGGTGCAATCGTGTCCTTTTTGCAAAAGAGTATGCAATGGCAGTATAAAGAGGGTATGAGGGCGGTCTCTGCGCTGCCGCGGACTCCCGTTTATCTTGGACATAACTTGCTTTTTACTGAGATCGAAGCCGCTCATTGTTCTTTTGACAAGCCGCTCCTAAATGTGTCCATCCCCCACAGTCTTCATGCAGTCTCTGGTGATCTGATCTCCAACTCTAACAGAGAGAAGCTCCTGGAGTGCTGCATCACTCCAGTTTATCATCTCAGCTGAATCTGTTTACAAAAGCAAAACTTACCGCCCGAGTTTACTTTCATTTTCAATTTAGTTGCCGGACAGAGCTCGGCTGTAACTCCCCATGTGACCGTTACACCTCCCTCTGTTGCGCCAAGGGTTACTATGCATTCACAAGTCCAGCGTTGCGGCAATATTGCTACTAAGCGTGGAGGCATAAATGCCACAAAATTCATGCATCGTCATGCCGCCACAGCGCGCTCATAAGACACACTGTAGCGGCAGTTCTACGCTGATGTGCCGGCATGTTGTGTCTTCTAAAAAGGGCTCACGGTGAGTGAAACCTACATTCAGAATAGGGATGTGTATTGGTGAAATTCTGGCGATACGATACGTATCACAATACAGGGAGACGATACGATATATCAGGCGATATTAGCAATTTTTTTACACCAAATTTATTGTAGGACAATTCAATAAACAATCCAAACTCATGCGTAACATGTTTAACATGAGGTCTCTGCATTCAGTGGTGGGAACAAAACCCATGGCACACTGCTGCCAGCTAGCGGTCGGTGTTTGAATTGCACCCACAATAAAGAAAATACACAAATGTTTGCATGTAAATTCTTTCCAAACTGAGAAACACAGCTTTTGAATATCAATATAATATTGCGGGAAAAATATCACAGTATGTTGCAAAATCAATATTTTCTTGCATCCCTAATTCAGAAACAAGAAGTTTTTATCGCTGCTTTCTTTCAAAGTGGTTTTTAGGCATATTAGAAAAGGCTGACTGAAACTCTTATACACTGAACTCCACTCCATCATCTGTGCTAAGTTTACGCCTTGCAGCTAAAATCTGATACAGCTCTGAGCTGGAGGCATTCTGTCGATCCAGATTTATTTCTGACTTTATTATTTGCTTTTATTTTTTGTTCCCGGCAAGAATGTGTGCAGCAACTGTGAAAACAGTCCACATGAGGATGAAGGCTTGTGTCACTGCTGGGATGTGCCTGCCTCTCCACATCTCTTCACAGTTCCACAGTAAAATTAGGACAGATTAGGAGCCTTCTGAATCCTGACAGACTGCGCAGAAAAAAACAATGCAAGTCGACTTCCTTCGAAAGCAGATTAAACACTGCACAAGCTTGAAGCACGAAGTTGGGTCAACCTTATGCAACACTCTTCACAAAGAAAACAACATACGCAACAACTTCCCTGAAGAGAGCAGATAATCTCACCTTTCCATTCCTCCACGGTGTGCTCTCTCTCATCCAGCTGCTTGTCTGTGATCATAGGTGGAGGCTTCAAAGAGACAAACACACATTTTATTTTTATTCGTTTTTTACCAGATAAGACGTCTTTAACACAGAGCAGCAAGTCAAAAATGTGGCGAGTTAAATCATCTTTCAGTTGAAAACAACCAGTGTGTGTTCATTCATTTTCAGATGGTCAAACATTAATAAGGAGGCTGCTGTTTCTCTGTCTCATCAGAGTTTTGAGGCTGCTCAACCCCATGCCTGAAGGACGGAGGGTGAATGGTTCGTGGGCTGGATGGGTGGGGTGTGCCCTTGGCTTCCAAATAACAAAACTAGAACAGGTTGGGAAGGAAAAAACACTAAACTAGCCTCGCTACCGAAACATTTGCTCCATAAACACTTTTCAAGCTTAAACGTTGCTGAAGGAAGATGCATGTTTAAGGGTCTTCAATAAATTTAGTGGACTGTGTTAACTTTAATTTCTATATAAAGCTGCTTTTCTTTGTTTTTGCCTGAAAGCCGTGTTAATGACCTTTACTGTACTGATTCTTTGGTGCGACAACCCCAATGCTTTCATAACATGTATTTTACCCTCATTTCCAATTATTAGTACATGCAAATTTAGTTTTGTCTTTCATTTAACCTTTAGTGCCAAATGTATCATATTTGTTTGCTAGTTTTTTACACCTCTCTCTCTAAAAGGATTAGTATGCTCCTCAAACTTCTGCTCTGTAGAATTCAAGTCTTCTGCCTCCTTGTGGAAGATCTAAGCAACACAGGTTATAATTGCCACTTATACTTTGTTATTACTGTCTGTTACAATGTTATATACTTACCTAATAAAATGTTCATCATGTTTGAGATTAGCCGGTAAATAAGTCACTCTTTCTAACAAATATATTTGCTGATTGTGATGTCATGCATCCGGATTTAAAGGGTTAAGTTCTGATCTGTCAAAAAGATAAAAAATGTGATAATGATCTGTTAAATAATATACTTTGAAATCATTGAACATTTAGTAACCATCTTATTCAATGGCGGATCATTATCTGTACCAGGTTGTAACTTTCTGATTAGTTTCTCCCACCTTGGTCAGAAAATGAAAATGAAAAACTGACTAGAGACTTAATTATCCGCCTAACCCGGTACCGTTAATGTAACTGAATAAAATAGTTTTGCCCGGTTGACTGCCAGCTCATGTCCTCCTTTTGCGTAAGGGTGTGATATATTTTGTGCCACTAGAAGGCGCGAGAGCACCGCTATCACGATATGTTTACTCAAAAACCACAGAGGAAAAGGTAAGTACGTCACATGATCAACTAAATGTACTCAAAAATGAAGCAATTAAAAGAGCAACGTGTGGGAGCGTTTAATTGTTGATAGTTAGCACATTGAGCCCTACAGTGAAGTGCTGAGCCTGGCAGGACGTGGAAATGAAGCCACACAGCAAACTGAACCGAGACCAGAAACAGGTCAGTCTGCCGTTACGCTCCTGCCTCCTAAAAGTAGTTTGTTTAGTCAAATAAGGAAATGTCAGAGTAATTATTTAGTTCAATGTAAGGAAACTAAAGTGTAGCCTTCAGAATGTGCTTATAAGCATCGCTGTGTATTTGATGCCAGATGGCCCGTTACACAAGTCCTGAAGGACATTTCAGCTCTCAGCCCACTAACGTTACTTTTCGTTTATGAATGTTGTAAGGAGTATGGGACTTTGGTTGTGAATCAGAATTATGTTATAAAAAGTTTGTATTATTTATAGAGTGGGGGCAAAGGTTAGTTCGTGTGTGTGTGTGTGTGTGTGTTACAGGTAACCAAGTATTAACCGTTAAATGCGTCAATCGGCGGTTAAACTAATTTTGGAAAACGTGCATCCCGACACGATGCCAACAAAAACTTTTTAAAGTCAAAGTCCTGTTAATCATCATCACACACTGGTGAAACATCATCTATGCATTTGACCTGTCTCCGTGGGGAGCGGTGAGCTGCAGCTGTGGCTGCGCTCGGGAACTCTTTGGTGATTTAACCCCCCATCGCAACCCCTTAAAGCGGAGTGTCAAGCAGGAAGGTATTGGATGCCAATTTTGAAGTCTTTGGAATAACCCGGCTGGTATTGGAACACCAACCTTCAGTCCCAGGTAAGACACTCTACCACTAGGCCACTGAGAAGGTACTGGGAGGATTTCAGAAATAAGGGTGGGTTTTTGTTTTGTTGTTAATGTGGACGTTCATCACATACTGGAGTATTTATGTTTATTTTTTCTATTAACGAGGTAAACATGACTTTAATCTGAACGCTAAAACCAGCAGTGACTCCTCTTACCCAGAGACACACTAAAGTTTGATCAAATAATAAAGTGTCAGAGCACAGTCCGAGTACAAATGTCTTCCTGTCAAGGTTGGATGTTCAGTTCTGAGCAAAATCCTTTCACGCCACAAAGGAGACGGATGAAAGCAGCAGTTTGATTCATTTACCCAGCAGGCATGAAGCAGTGTGTGCTGGCTGTTACTGTTTCCTTGAGTTTGACAAAAACAAAAACACAACGTCTTCAGGGACATCGTCAGACTTGTGTAGTTCACGTTTGGCACTGGCTGAGAAAGTTTAATATATGAAAGTGCTGAGCGCTACAGCTCAGCCCTAAGTCTATTTTATAGATGAACACAAGCATATCATGTGTTAAAGGTGCAGCAGGTTGCTTTTGTTTAGGATTAACTTTTAAACACCTCCAATATAGACGCTATAGTTCTCAACCGGCTAGCCTATTCTGGGTCAGCGCAGAGGTCCAATAGCGTGAGGAGTTTTAGGCCTGATTTATTCTTCATCTGCGCGTGTACGGAGACACAAAATGTCAAGATGCGTTGACACAAGAGCTCTACAGCAGGCCCGCAGGGGGTGAAGAAGACAGCAAATTTTAAAAATATCCGTCGAAAATGACAGCCCGTGATTGGTCAGGACACCTCTTCCTTTAAATTTGTCAACAGCACCATCATTCTCACCTCACAAAAAATGGAGCGGGCGCCGAAGATATCTAGTGACAGACACTGAGCAGATTGAAAAACGCCTCATGGAAAAAGTCTTATATGAACGTTTAAACCCCTGTGACCGAAGGAGCAGAAAGATATGCAGCAAACGTTTTATTCATGGACAGAAATTATGGGAAAGTGAGTTTGGAGGGGATGACTGGACAAAGAGGTGGAGGAGATTGAGGGACAAATTTGTCTTTTTCAAAGACTCTGAAATACATAAATGTTGTCCTGGCGGGGAATTCTCACCAGGTGAGAAAAACGTCTGTCAATGTGTGTGTGAAGCTCCACACCCAAACTGATGGAGACGTAAACATCTGGCTCGAGTATCTCGGTGTCTTGCTCGATAGTGAGGGAAGGAGGGAGATCGACAGGCATCTGCAGCGATGCTGAAACCCTTCCTTCCACCAGCCGTGAAAGCAGTCGCATCACGTAATAGCGGTGTTTTAGCCATGAGCTCATTCCAAACGGAAGCAATTCCGATGCAAAACGGGAGCAAAAGCATTCCACACAGCTCATCTTGTGACGCGATAAAACCACGGGAGAACTGCAACACCATGCGTGATTTCAGAAGTACACACAGAATAACACTAAGAAAGACAGCTGCATGTGTCAAAAAGGTCTGTGGTTTACTTTCTGTTGTTTACATCGGCTACAGGGTTTTTAACAGGAAATGGCATACCTTTACCTGCATGTGACTTTCAGTTTCCAGATGTGTTTTACACAGCTTTTGTGTTCGACTTCCTGTCTGGCGTGATCTAAACTATGGAGTTTGACGTGTTTTGGAAGTGTTGTGCATACAAAACAGACTCGAAAGGTAACGATAGCATCCCCTCGCAAAACGTTACACTTTGCAGCCGGTGGAAAGGAAGACCTCCACTTTAACAGCAGCTGACTGCTGTGTGGTCCGTTTAGCAGCTGTTTCGCTACGCTTCCACGTGCAGTGGAAAGAATGGGTTGGAGTTACGGTGAGGAGCTTGGACACCTGCGAGCGTATCAGAGTAGAGCTGCTGCTCCTCCACGCCAAGTGAAGCCAGCTGGGGGATGTAGGCATTTGGTCAAGGTGCCTCCTGGACGCCTCCCAGGGGAGCCACCCAACCTGGATAAGCAGATGAAAACGAGCAAACTTTTAAAGCGTTACTCACTGCCTCCACTTCAGTCGGGTCGTACCACACGTTGATGTAGGGGTGCTGCAGAGCCTCGTCCACCGAGATCCGCTTTGAAGCATCTATTACCAGCATCTTGGATAGAAGGTCTCGGGCTTGGCTTGCTGAAAGGTAGATGTGGACCAACAGGAGAGATTTGAAGAATGGCTCACATTAAGGAAGGACACACCACAGTTCAAAAGCTTGATAATAATTAATAGGATAACAAATAGGGTAAATCTTCTGAGGGGAGAACTAAAAATCTTTTGGAAAATAAATAATAATTCATTAAAAACCCTATTTTGAATAAAAACAGCTGGCGCTGAGTGACGTGACTAATAAGCAGATGTTTGAGTTTCCAAAAAGAAGAAAATAATCCATTTCATTTTTGCTTTTTAAATTTGAGTTTTTACTTATTATCGAGTTTAAATTGTGCTCTACAAAAGTTTGCAGGCACAAAGTTCTTACTCCAGTTTTTCCACAGAACCCACAGTGCCTCACCTTTTAGCTTGTTGTGGTCAGAGTCAGCAGGAAACAGCACGTCTGGGAAGAGCTTCTCAAAACTGTAGCCGGCGTAACGCGGCCGGTTCTCCACGTAGGTTCTCACAGACTGGTTGAGCTTCATGAGGAAATCCTGGGACGGCGTCCCCAGCTGCTCGATAACCTTATTCCACTGGTCGATATCTTGTGGTCAAAATATTAAGAAAACTACTGGGGTGGATTTGGAAGCTGCTGCTCATGGTGCACGATGGGTGAGTTATAGAGTCCTGTTTTCTGTTTAGGACTCATTTAAAAGGTAAGCAACAGAAAAACTTCACACAAGACATTTTCTTTTACTTTCTTGCAAAAACAAAGATAAAAGTTGATGTTTACAAAATATCTGTGACTAAATAGAAATTTGGACTATCCAGATATCTGAAATATCTAGAAAGGGGCAAAAGATGTACACACACACACACACACACACACACAAATACAGAAGCAACATACAAAAATGTTCACGGACATCTTTGTTCATCTGTTGCCATGGCTGAACAATGAGAAGAAGCCTAGCATGGAGACAGATGAGTCTACTAGATGAGCTACTGAAGGAGCAGTCCCTTCTAGCCGATAAAACCAAACTGAACTGTGCATTTGTGTCCTTCACAGGCACCCATCCAAACAGGAAAAGGATGTGACCATGACCATGGTTGAGTGTGCTCTTGCCTCAGAACAGGGATCTCCAACATTTTTTGGCCCGTGAGCTACTTTTACACTATGAAAGTACTGAAGAGCTACCGCCATACGAATTATTCACACTGATACTTTCTATGTGTGAATATGCTAATGTTAAAGAAGCTATACTTACTATATTAACATGCATTAAATCCACAAGTTGATGTCTCTGTGTTCCGATACATCAATATTCTAAAAAAGTACAAGGAAAAAAGTGACATTTTGAAAATTTAATTAAACAAATGATTTTGTTTATGAACCAATTAGATATTTACAGATAATGAAATTCAAATCTACTTCGTATGAACGATTTGACACGTTTTTAGAATGGATCAGTAACATAACTTTTTGAGCACACAGGAACAGCTAACCTGTGCAGTCCCTGACCCTGTGCCCTGCCTGGAGCCTAAGCAGCAACGTCAGTTTCACACAGTGTTCAGCTATTTCGTATTGAATTAAAATCACACGATTGTTTAACTTGCACACTAACCAAAGAGTTATTTTTGTCATAAGAGTTTATTGTTTGACTAATCAACTGTCACAGATGCAGCTTCTTCCTTTTTGTGTGCAACAACATGAACAAAATGTCAGATAAACACGGGGGACAACACAGCATTTGGGTGAAGGAGGAGGAGGGGTGGGGGTTGGATGGAGGTTTAAACTTAAGGATACGATCAGTGCCTGGAAACAACACACTACCTCGGACCATTTCAGCCATGATGCATCCAACAGACCAGACATCAACTGAAAAATGAAATGACATCCACCAAATTAGCATGCAGAACTTAAAAACAAATAACATTTAGAGCACAAAAGGAAGATAAAACTAAAAACCATGATTTACGTGAGGTTATGTGCGTGAGACAAGACAAAAGGATGACCTGCATGCATTCAGGAGCATTGTCATACCCAAGTCAAGGTCCCACAAGTCTCTTGTCTTTTTTTGGATCTGAGTAGGAACCATTTTAATGTGATCTAAACAGCAGGAGTTCACAGATCCGAGAGGCCTCGTTTGTGCAGAGATGCAGATCCCAACACCCTCCGTGATTCCCACTGTGATCAGCTCCAGGATGGGGAAAACCAAAATTTGATTCCTATGACAAAATTTCTGAGGCTTTTCTCTTTGAGTTTAAAAAACCCCACAAGACTGCAGATCGGGAGCCTCGGTTCTTGTCACTAAGCAACAGTCCTCATTATGAAATGAGTTGCTGCTATAATATAATGTGGGAACCAGCTTAGAGGACTGATGAGAGCCTTTCTGCAGGTCTTTCATGTGACAGTCACGGTGCCTCCTGCAGCACAGAGACCTGTTTATGTGTCTGCAGGAGGAGCGTGTGGGTGGCTGGAAGTCAAGGTGCAAGGCGAACCAGACAAACAGGATCTCAAGAGCTGAATTTGATGATTGGGAGGGGGACACAAACTAAATGGGATACACTTTTTCGTGCTGTTTCTTTATTGGATGCCAGACACGGCTGCAAGCAGCTCAAGGATACAATCCCTTCCTGGGAAAAGGATTTTGTGGCGAACCATTTCTGCCATAATGCAGCCTACAGCCCAGATATCCACTATATATGAGCAGCACAAGGAGGAGGGAGAAAACCATGAGCAACAAATGCAAAGAGTCCGCTGCTAGAGTTAGCACTTTGATAAAGTTTTGTAGGAAAGTGAGTGATTCCTTTTCACCATGAAGCCTGCCTCTATGAAAAAGTTATAAATCCCTATCATTCATCCCCTCTGCAGTAAGAGTGTATAACTCCTCAGTTTAACTGGTACTGACATTATATTGGTACACAATAACACCAATGCAGTACTCCGTATATGTTCAATACTTGTGCAATACTGTATTTACATAGTATGTCTATGTCCCTTACAGTGTGTTGCATAGTTCTGGAACCCAAGTTTTTCATTTTTATTTGTGGTTTAGTGATTGAAGGTTACAATAATAGCTTCCTGGGTATGTTTATATACGTGTACCTTTGTTATTATTTTTCTCTAAAGTGTTGGTGCTGCTGTAACACGTGCATTTACCCACTGTGGGATCAATGAAGTCCATTCTATTCTGTTCCATTCTATTCTTACTCGTTACAGATAATTTCCTGATTGTGAGTTCACAGACTGGTGAAAATGTCATTGTTTCTTATTGCTGCTTGGGTTTGGCTTTCTGATGTAAACAGATGTGGGAGATTGGCCTGTTACGATCACCAGGTGATTCTTGGATGCATCTCAAGATATTTGCAGTGGAGCTAATTTTAAATGAACTTCTGACATAATTACACTGAAATAGGCCATTTACAACAGTGAGCAGATTTTAAAACAGACTAATAGACTAGAGAGTAGACTGGTTTTAGTCCATTTAATAACTGGCCTCAGCGGGCATTGTTAGCTCATCAAGCCTCTGTCCCTTCCAGATCTTTGAGGTCTGCAGATCGCCTGCTCCTGTCCGTCTTAAAATGCACTATAAATCTCAAGGGAAGCGGGCTTTTTCATTCGCAGCTCCCAATCTTTGGAACTCACTTCCGTTACACGTACAGCAGGCCCCTCCATAGCCCGGTTTAAGTCTCTACTCAAGGCTCAAGTTTACTGTTTAGCTTTTAATTAGAGGCCGACTGATACGGGTTTTTAAGGCCGATACCGACTTTTAAAGAATTTTGTTGTCGATGGCCGTTATCTAAAGCTGATTATGAAGGCTGAACACTCACTGTGTGCAATATAAATATTTGCAGTATGCAATATATATGCAGTATAATATTTGCCAAGAGAGTTCACCAGCATTGTCTTGGCAACCGTTTATATTCCACCTTCAGCCATTGCTGAAAATGCATGTGATGCCATCAGTTCCGTTGTCGCTAAGCTACAAACCCAGCATTCCAATGCATTTGTGGCTATATCTGGTGATTTTAATCATGCCTCGCTCTCTGCTACACTTCCAACATTTCAATAGTTTGCCAGCTGCTCCACCAGAGAAAACAAGACATTGGATTTGTGTTATGCCAATGTAAAGAATGCATACATGTCCAAAACAAGACCTCCTCTAGGACAGTCAGATCACAATCTTGTTTTTCTCTGCTCAGAATACAAACCACTTGTTCAGAGGCAACCTGTGACAAGAAGAACTGTGAGAAAATGGTCACAGGATGCTGAAGAAGCCCAGCAGGATTGTTTTGAGACCACAGATTGGATGACTCTCTGCCAAGGATATGAAGAGGACATCAATGCCATGACTGGATGTGTTACCGACTATATAAACATTTGTGTGGACAACATCATACCCACCAGAACAGTGAGACACTTTGCTAATAACAAACCCTGGATCACGAGTGAACTGAAGAATCTGCTATATGAGAAAAAAAGAGCCTTCAAGGAGGGAGACAGGGAATTATTGAGGAGTATACAGAAGCAACTGGAGATCAAGATCAGAGACAGCAAGGAGGCATACAGGAAGAAGCTGGAGAACAAACTACAGAGGAACAATATCAGAGATGTCTGGTCAGGGATGAAGAAGATCACAGGCTTCAAGCAAAGGAAGGATTGCACATATGGCAGCCTGGACACAGCCAATGAACGGAACAAGTTCTTCAATAGGTTCAGTTCAGGAACAAACCCAGCATCCCCCTCACCTGTCCCCAGCCAATCTGACATCCCATCCTCCTCTGATCCAACATTTTCCTGTCACACGCCAGCTCTTTTGCCCTCTAACACATTCATGGACTCTTCTGGTCCTATAAATCTGTCTTCAACCAAGTCAGGAGATGCTGCTGTCCCATTTACCTCCCCCTCCCACCTATCAGTCTCTAGAAGTCAGGTGAAGAGGCAGCTGGAGAGACTGAACAGGAACAAGGCTGCAGGTCCAGATGGTGTCAGCCCTAGAGTACTGAAGGCCTGTGCAGAGCAGCTTTGTGGGATTGTGCAGCACCTCCAACCTCAGCCTGGCCCAGGAGAAGGTTCCAGTCCTGTGGAAGACATACTTTCTTGTTCCAGTTCCAAAGAAAACTCGCCCATCAGTCAATGACGACTACAGACCGGTTGCCCTGACATCCCACATCATGAAGGTCCTGGAGAGACTCCTGTTGGTCCACCTAAATAAGCAAACTAGAACATATCAGGACCCGCTGCAGTTTGCTTATCACCATGGAGTTGGAGTTGAAGATGCCATCATCCAGCTGCTTCAACCAACCCACTGTCATCTGGACAAAGCAGGCAGCACTGGATCATGTTCTTTGATTTCTCCAGTGCATTTAACACAATCCAGCTTGATGTACTTTGCCAGAAACTCCAGAAGACACAGGTGGGGGCCTCAACTATCGCCTGGATTAAAGACTACCTGACAAACAGACCACAGTTTGTGAGGCTGAAGAACTGCACATCAAACCAGGCGATCAGTAACATTGGAGCACCACAGGGGACTGTACTCTCACCATTCCTTTTCACCCTGTACACCTCAGACTTCCAGTACAAATCAGAGACCTGTCATCTACAGAAATACTCAGATGACTCTGCAGTTGTCGGGTGTATTAGAGATGGACAGGAAGCTGAGTACAGCGAGCTTTTGGAGCGCTTTGTGGCATGGTGTGGAAACAATCATCTGACCTTGAAAGTGAACAAAACAAAGGAGATGATTTTAGACTTCAGAAGAAACAGGGTGGAGTCAAATACTGTTTCCATCATGGGAGAAGAAGTGGAGGTGGTTGAGGAATACAAATACCTTAGAGTTCACCTGGACAACAGACTGGACTGGAGAAAGAACAGCGAAGCCGTTTACAAGAAGGGACACAGCAGACTGCACTTCTTGAGGACGCGTAGGTCCTTCAAAGTCTGTAGCAAGATGCTGCACATCTTCTACAAGTCTGTTGTTGAGAGTGTCATCTCTTCAGCCATCGTCTGTTGGGGTAGCAGCATCAGAAGCAGGGGCCTGAAAAGGCTCAACAGCCTAATAAAAAAGGCTGGTTCTGTTCTGGGGACGACTGTGGAATCACTGGAGGAGATAATACAAAGAAGTATCCTCCAGAGAATCAAGAAAATTATGGACAACCCTGAGCATTCTCTTCACAAGACTGTCCGACAACGGAAGAGTGTCTTCAGTCAGAGGCTTCTTCAGTTTCGCTGCAACACTGACCGCTACTGGAGATCCTTCCTGCCAACAGCCATTGTAATATACAATAACTCTTTGATGACTTTATTGTTATTATTATTCTGAGCTACTACAGCAATCAATTTCCCTCTGGGATGAATAAAGTATTTTTGAATTGAATTGATAAATTAAATAAGTCAATAAACCTCTTAATATTTATTGAACTTTAAATATAAAACAAACTCAAAACATTAACTGAGTGAAAAGTGTTTCAGAACTATAGAAAATATAACAATAGAAAACAAAACAGATTCAAGTTTTTTTCTTAAGTGTTTAAAATAAAGACAACCAAGCAGAACCCAGAATAATGGTGCAAAATAGTGCCTGGTCGAGGTAGAATCTTCAAGTAAAAAAAATAACAAAGTAAGGCACACTACCACATTGTAGTAAACAAATATTATCAAACTATACATAAAAATAGTGCAAACAATGTAAGTAAAAGGAAGGTTGTAGCATGGAACCTTTCTTTTACTTACATTATTTTATGCTAATTTAAAGCAAAACTTACCGCTTCCAGATCAGGAGCATGAGCTTGTTAGCTACAAATCCCTTTTCTCATTTATCTAACTCTGGGAAATCTAACAAATTTTTACTTGGAGGTGGAATATTCCCTTAGGTGTAAACAACAAAAAAGGCGCCTGATTATTATTTTTTTTTTTTTATCGGCTTTTAAAAATAATTTCGGCCGATGACCGATTATAGAAAAAATTGAACATATCGGCCCGACATCTCGGTTAGCCTCTACTTTTAATGGTCATTTTGTTTTTATCTCTCACCATTTATAGCCTCCTTCCTCTTTTCATTTAATTGAATTTGTCATCCTTGTTATTTTTATTCATCGTTTTAAACATTTCTATCTTGTTGCGTTTATCTTAGTATTGTTGCACTGCTTTTTATTGTTTGTCCTGCATTCACGGAGCATTTATGCTCCTTTGTGAAACACTTTCATCAGCTGTCATGCTGTTTTTAAATGTGCTATGCAAATGAACATGGTATGGCACATTAAAGGAGCAATATGTAAGAATGTAACAATGAAATATTCACAAAACAATGTCTCAATCATGTTGGAAGGAAGGTTACATTGAAACAGATTTCCTTCCCAGACAGCTGGGGGGATTGCCGAGTCTGTGCTGGACAACGCTGTAACACCAGCATCTGTAATTCGATCTTGTACCCCTAAGAAACCACAGCATTCCTTTTGTTTTACTCTAATATCGGGTTAAGAAGGCTAGATGCTAACGTTGAGCTAATGGTGGATTAGAAACAAGTTGGCTCTAAAACAAACAGGCTTTAAAAAACACCTCAAGCTAATTCTTCAATTACCAACAACTTGAAATTACAGTGACATATTTATCTACTCATCAGCTTACTGTGTATGACTCGCTTTCACTCATCATCCAGAATCTTCTGGTGGTGAGCCATGAAACTCGAAACGGCAGTGAGAAAGTCACTCGTGTTTTGAGAAATGGCTGCAGTAACCAGCTTTGACCCCAGGTTGTCATCCTTACTTTATTCTTATAAAATACACCTTTAAAGGGAAACTAAACTCCTGCCAAGCCTGCACACCATGTCTGAAACAATTTCAGCACCCAAGAAAGCTCAAGTGCATCCTGGTATAAGATATGCTAACTAACGTCTCGCTAACTAAATCAACTCTCCTGCTGACTTCAAGTAAACTGGAACGACTAATATTTGTCTGTTTCTTTCAGTAACAGACTGTGAAACATCCCAAGCAGCATAAGGTGAGTCTGCTGAAGCATGCACAGGTTCATTCTGCCCGTTTGAAACCAGCAGCTCCTTAATAAAACATCAAACACATGCTGAAGCACTGCTGCTGGCGTCAGGTCCTCAGATAGGAGGTTCCCCACAATGCACCAATACGCCGCATGTCAACTCCCCCCCACCCGAGCATAACCTTTATAGAACCAGGTGGTGTGTATGTGTGTGTTTGTGTATGTGTGTGTTTCAGGAGTGATCTTGCGGGCCATGCAGCAGGCCAGGCAAGGTAGCAGCTTCTCATTGGTCAACTTCCACCCTCCACTCACCGTTGGCCTGGTAACCCATGCCTAGGATGACTTCAGGCGCGCGGTAGTAGCGGGTAACCACGTAGGGCGTCATGAGGAGGCCGGTGGCGGCAGTCCTGGCGAGGCCAAAGTCCAGGATCTTCAGTGTGCAGTCAGACTTAACTACAATGTTGCTGGGCTTCAGGTCCTGTGAGGGTAACATGAGGAGTTACAACGTCGGCTGAGACAGGTCCAATCAACTTTCCTGAAGTTGGTAAAATCTTGAGCTGAAAGCAGTATTTTACAGGTTAACTTTACTAATATTTTGAATAAATTTGCAGTGGTCTCTAATATAAACAAATGCCTTGTAAGTTGTCCTCTGGGGAAAAAAAGCTCTGGTGCGCCTGTTTGAGGATGTAGAAGTCAGCAGGAGGAAAAAGAGGCAGAAAACGGCAGAATTTGGAGTTTTATTTCCTGATATTTGGACATCTAGCCTCTAATTGGCTAACAGCAACATGACTAGCTGTTTTATCTCCACAAATAACAGAAGCCTGGAAGAGTTCTATCGTGTTATTGAGTTGGTAATGCTAACAGCTAGCTTCTCCTAGTCGAGATGTTAAACTTAGAGTAACTGATCATTTTCAAAAATAATAAGTAAATATGTTATTCTGCTCTTTAATAATAGTGTTATGATACAAATAAACATGAAATCAAACACAATCAGCACTGGCACAAAGATCTACAAACCCTCACAACACCGTAGAGGTTCTAGCTATTACAGATTTTGATGAGGGTGGAGGTGGATTAAACGTAAAACTGAATTAGTTTGAATTGCAAGATCACCGTTTCCCACTCCTCTGACACACAAAAACATTACTTCTATTGCTCTCTGAATTCACAATCCACAAAACGTCTAGCTCACTTCTTAGTAGATGACCATAAGACATTTATGTCAGTTTTCCTGCATTATTTACATAGCAGCGCAGCAATTCATCTGCAAATACTGACTGCTTTTAGGCGACAATGTGTATTTTCCATGGCGATAGGGGGCCCGATACAGGCCATCCTAACCAGCCTTGCTGCGAAAAGAGCCATTTAATCCGCTCACTTGGCCAGGACATTAATATGCTAATGAGCTGCTTGCTGATTGGCTGGTTTAAATCAGAAGGCCTCAGACACTGGAGACTGCAGATGGGAGGAGGAAGGGCTCCACATTGTGATGTTTTTATGAGAGGTTTCTCAGGAAAAAAAAAGGTTTTCTCTGGCATTTTTAAACTTTCTAATTTACATAAAAAGTAAGTCGCACACGGCTTTGACTTTTGGCATGTCACTTTTGACCACCCAAGCTGTCTTTATTTACAAACAACAATAAAATGTTGGTTTAGATTATTTGTCCAATTTAACACTTAAGTGCGGTGGTCCGCAAATGGCGGCCCGCGGGCCACATCCGGCCCGCGAGCCCTCTCTTTGTGGCACCCAAACCCCGCTCGCAGCCCCCACCCCCGATGGCCGACTGGGAGGTTTAGGATAGAGCTGAGGAAAATCATCAAATAATCAATGCATGAGATGCGGGCATAAACGGTTTTGCATCATTGAAGAGTACCATAATCAATTATAGTGGAATGTAGTTGTGTGATTTTAACGGTGGCACCAGCGCAGCATCCACATCTGTCAGAGCGGTGTTCTCCACATTTACAGGGTAGGAAACTTTGATCTGCCTTTATGTGGTACTGCAGGGCTGAGCGCTGGAGTTGTAACCTGAGACTGAACCCGAATCGAATCAGCCCGACCGGCTTGCCTATTGTAGATTCACTCTTCCCAGTCTGGTGCAGGTCTACAATTCTTTTCCTGGTGTCCTTCGAAAGCTCTTTGGTCTTGGCCATAGTGGAGTTTGGAGTCTGACTGTTTGAGGCTGTGGACAGGTGTCTTTTATACAGATAATGAGTTCAAACAGGTGCCACAGGTAACAAGTGGAGGACAGAAAAGCTTCTTAAAGAAGACGTTGCAGGTCTGTGAGAGCCAGAGATTTTCCTTGTTTGAAGTGACCAAATACTTATTTTCCACCCTGATTTACAAATAAATTCTTTAAAAATCCTGCCATGTGAATTCATGGATTTTTTTTTCACATTCTGTCTCTCACAGTTGAAGTGTACCTGTGATGAAAATTACTGACCTCTGTCATCATTTTAAGTGGGAGAACTTGCACAATCGGTGGCTGACTAAATACTTTTTTGTCCCACTGTACTGGCTCAGGAAAAGTATTTAAAAATATGAAAAACTTACAAAGTTTCCTTTCAAAGACAAAGTAAAAACTTTTTCCTGCTGTACTGAACCATGACCCAAACATGTATGTGTGTAAGCATGGCTGACCCTGTGTATGATGCCTGCAGCATGAAGGTGTTTGATTCCACACAGCATCTGGTAGAGCAGGTAGGACAGCCTTTCGTGGTCCAGTTCCATCTGAATCACCTGACAGAGGTTGGCATCCATCAGTTCCATGACGAGATACCTGGAGGGGAAAAAGTCATTCCGGTAAATGATAGTTTCTGCAAACTAATTTATACCCCAACCCTTGTATTAAAGCAGCAAACTTATCAAATGTGCTGTGAACACACACAGTTACGCACTGAAGTAAACAAACATGCAGGAAAAATGGAGTTTTCATCATCCAACGCTGCAGCCCTCTGGCAACGATGTGTCCAGTTTCCTTTGTAACTCCAATCAGGCAGACAGAACAGAGCAGAGTGCACACGCACGCATGCACGCACGCACACGCGCACGAGCACACACACTATTTGCTTGAGTTAGGCATTAGCTGTGTTCATATCATCCTTCAGAAAACCTTCCCTCCCACATTGTATCACGCTGTGATTTTACAGATTGTTTCCACTCACATCTTCTAAACACATCCTCTGGTCCAGTAGGAAGGTCACGGCTCTGACCTTTTTGTTGGAAGTGGACCCATTTACCATATTCTTCCCATTTCTTTGGTTTTCAAAGTGTAACTTTTTCTCTACTCTCCCTTAAGTGAGAACGTCAGACTGAGGATTTCAGGGTCCTCTTTGGTGTAATTTAGACTTCTTAATGATTTGAAATACTTTAGCAATTCAATACAAATAAATGCAATTTATATTAGTAGTTAAATCAACAAATACAATGACAGCAAATAAAAAGCTATATAAAATAAAATCATTCTCAGCTGTTCTTTGAAGACAGACTAACAGCAAAACTGCTGCGTCATGCTTATATTTAAGTCAGTATCTCTCATGGCAAGACCTACAACACTTTAACAACATTTAAATATGAATATACCTCGACTATGCGGGTTTTTCTATCGCCAATCCCGATGCAGACATGTAGAGTTCATGGTCCATGCAGCCCACTCTTTAGGCTGATCTTCATGGTTGATATCTAGATAGTTTCTGTTTTATTTGCATGCTGAAATGTCACTAACGAAGTTGATGCACAACTTTTCTAACCTTAATCAGTCTTTGAACACCGAATTTAACCAACTCCTGACTCTAGTAAAGTAAATCTCAACATGATAGAGCCTTGGACTGTTCTGTGATTATGTCACAGCATAAATAGCACCCATTAGACCTGATCATTTAAATAAACACAGTGCTATGATGTGACTATTAATAATACAATGTTGCATCCTGTAGTGATTAGAGTAGGCTCTGGAACACTCACACATCTTGGAACTCCTCCAGTGTTTTCTGTGGTGTGAATACATTTAATAAGCCAATGATCTGTGAAGGAAAGACAGAAAAATGATAAGTTCACAGAACCTGAAGAAAAGGAGGACCGGCTCTAATATATAAAGCTGTGTCACAACTTTAACCAGAAAGCATTAAACCCTCTGAGTTTTCTGATGGTTCTAGTTTTCTGGATCCTGGAGGGGAAATCTGAGCAGGGCTGGCCAGCTTTCTAGCTCACTCCCAACTTCTCTAAAAATGGCTACGTATTAATAATTCATGTCTGATTCTGAAAACAGAGGCAGCACACTTTAAAGGCGCACAGGAAAAAATGTGATGTTAAAAATGCTAAATGATGCTATACTGTTTCATTGGTGTGAAAGAAACAGGCTCACGTTCTTGTGGTTGACACATTTCATGAGCACTAGTTCTCTGTAGGCCCGTTTGGCGTGAGTTTGATTCTGAAATGGCCGACTCAGCTTCTTGATGGCGACATTCCTCTCCAGGTTATGGTCATACGCCGAACTGAGAGAAGCAGGAGGAGAAGAAACTTGTAAATGAATTACATGAAAATATTAAAAGCCACACAGAGCAGAGTATGAATGATATAAACTAGGGTGGAAAAAGTTAACATTAACTAATTAGCCAATTAATCACTTCATGTCTACACAAATGTCATTGCATGTGTAAAGTTTCACCTATATATTGACCAACCTTTCATCTACAGAAATGAATCCACTTTCTTTTTGGCCTTCTAAATCCAGAAGGTTCTGTTCAGCGCGTGTTTGCATACAGAAGACAAAACATCCAGACAAACATTCTCTCCCAAGGTCCTACACACTCTGCATGAAAGCCAGACGTCGACATTCTTCACTCTGAACAAGTGGACTCCACGACTTTTACAACTGAAAAGCTTACAGTAATCATATGTGATGAATGAACAAGATGTTTAAATCAAAAGTTTGAATAATCTGTGCTTAAATCAATGAATTTGAAATGAATATTGTTCTTACAACGATCCATTTATATCACAAATCAGTATGTGTTTGATTTAACAAGTTAATCATTGTTTACACTCATACACATTACAATAAGTTACTCATTAAGGTAAAGAATGTTGTATCTGAAGATGGCGTGGCTTTCTGAGGGATGTTGGTAAAAACTCAGAAACGAGTCAAATTCTGATTGGCCAAAGTTGTTCAAACAAAGTTGTTCAAACAAAGTAGTTTATTAAAACAAGAATTGCTTCCTGATTAATTCAGTTTCTCGCTGACCCTCGAACCGGCCAATTCGGGAAAGAAGCATTTTTGAAACCATCTTCTCCTTTGTCCTCCTGTCAAAGCCTCTCTTCAACGCTGTGGCTGATACCAGACAACCAGCTCTTCTAAGAGCCAAGCAAACATCCGCCTTAGACACAAATAAGCATTCCAGCTTCCTGCCTTCACCTCGAAGGATCTCGGACTGGACGGGTCCCATCAGAACTGTCTACCCGGATCGAACGAGAACCTCCACACCAAGGATGTGTAGACTTGGCACAACAGATTGTGTCTGATGCTGTTTTTAATAAACAACTCTCTAGTTTAGAACCAAACAACAAATTCTTTTACACCCAGATTTCACATTTTCTCTCAGATACAAACAACGATTGCTACAACATCTAGCTTCCCTCACAACACCTCACATCCATCACACCACATTATTAATTTCTTCTCATGTATAAATTATTCGTTTAGGAAAAAGAATTAAACTCATTTTATAAACTATACACCTGACTCTGTCTGAATTAATATGAAGTGTGTTTATGGTCCCTAAAGAAGTAAAGAACCCTAGAATCTTCTGATTAAACTTTAAAAGATCAATCAGATTGATATTACATATTTGTATGGAATCATCACATCATATTGATCATAATTAATATGTATTAATTGCTACACACAACAACACGTTATTTGTTTTCAAAGTCTGCATCACTTAATTCCTTGTCAAGAAGGACTATTTAATAGGCTGGAAAAGATATATTATGAGGTAGGTCTGGGCGATAAAACAATAGCATTATACATTTCAAAATTACTTTAACCCATTCATGTTTTTACGGTATGCGCAGAAACTAAAGTTGTCCACCAGATGGGGTTGTCACATGTATTACACTGAGTCACATTTTTATGACTCCAGGTGGTACAGCTTCTTAAAGGGACATGAACCTTGCCAACCTACACACATCTTTTCATTTTTTATTATCAAATTTATTGACATGGGAAAAATGATGACGATAGGAGTCAAAAATTTTGATAACGATTAGGGATGCAATGATTCACTCAAATCACGATTCGATTCGATTCCCGATTTGAAGTTCACAATTCCGATTTTTTACGATTTTTGTCTTGTTGGTATTTCATTCACCCTTTTCATTTGTAAACATGGAGAAGCCAACATGCTGCCACACTGTTGACTTCAAACTGATTGGAGCATCCACTATCTCGAAGTTGCTTACTGTAGCCATGCTTGCCTCTAGTGGTGTGACTGACGGAAAATCTCACGGTTTGGATCGTTTCACGGTTTTCAGTCACGGATTGAGTCTTTTTTCGGATCAGCAGAAAGAAATACAGAAAACCCAGCAGTTTGGCACAATGTCTTTCGCAAGCAAGCATGCCATATTACGTAATATTCATGGCCGTTGTGAATCGATTTTCCTTTTTTCTACAACGATGGATACTTAAACTTGTTTGAACCGATTTTAAATCAATTCTTGAAGCATCATTACATCCCTAATAATGATACATTTCAGATTTATTGCCCAGCCCTAGTCTGGAGTGACTGCATCAGGTGAATTTGTGGCTAAAGACAGATCTACAAATCTAGACAAAATGTGATGAAGCCCCAAATATTACTACAATAATTTTAGGTCATAAATCCCAGTCATGTAGTGATACATTTATAATCCCATACAATGATTAAAAAAGACCAAATATTACAAACAAAAAGCACAAATAGCTCTAAAATGTTTTGATTCAAAGGCAAATAAATATTTCTTAGAAATGAGAAATTTCTTTCCATCACTTACCAGACAATTCCCTGTGCTCCGGACCCAATGGGTCTGAGGTTCTGGTAGCGCTTTAAAACTGTAAAAGTTGAGTCCCCTACATCTATACTGTAGTACTCCTTTTCACGCTTGTTCCGGTTCATGGTGAAGCCTTGGAGAAACGCCAAGACCAGGCATCCAAAAAGGCTTTCCTTCTCAAGATCTGCAGGGAGAAGAAAAAGGAAGAAACAAAGAATGAATAAATAAATCCAGATTCCCAGGATTAAATCTGACACGTTTCGAGCAGTTACTGGAGTCCATCATTCCCATATGTCAGCTGAGTGTGAAAACTGGCTCCACATGTCAAGAACCAACATTCAGACCACAGTTTGGACCACAGCCAATGAGGATGTTTTTTTTTCTTTTTCAATCTTGGCAAACAGTTCAGAAATAATCCAAGTATTTGTCTTGCTCAGCAGCGATGGGGGCCAAATTCTCAGTATGACCATGAAACCAGAGTCAGTTTATGAATCAAGTGATGCATTTGTGGGCAAATAATTTTCTATAGTATTATGTGAAACACGTCCTTGTTTTCTCAGAGCTTATCTAGCATGTGAATTAATAACCCAGTTGGAAAGCTCATTTGTTGGTTTCTTACAAGCCTCTTTTAGAAAACAATGCTGCCAATTTGCCGGCATCAGGTAGTTTAAGTGGTCAGACCGTGGCGATAATATGGTACTATTGTGTCCTTGTTATAAAAGATTACACAATGGTGGTATAAAAGGAGGTATGGGTTGCCTGCGCTGCCGCTGACTTCTGTTTATCTTGGGCGTAACTTGCTTTTTATTGCGATCGAAGCCGCACTCATTACGTTTTTTTTATGAGCTACTCCTAAAGGCTTCTGTCCTCCACAGTCTCTGTGCAGTCTTAGGTGATCTGAGCTCCAGCTCTAACGGAGAGAAGCTCGTGGAGCACTGCATTGCTCCAGTTAATCATCTAAACCCAAAAACGTGCGGCTTGTGTTTACTTTCATTTTCAATGTAGTTTCCTGCCAGTTGGCAGTAACTCCCCACGTGATCATGACACCTCCCTCTGTCCCACCAAGATGTATGCATTCACAAGTCTGGCATTGCAGTAATATTACTACCAAGCGTGGCGGCACATTCATAAGACACTATAGCGGCGGTATTACGCTGATTTGCCAGCATGGTGTGTCTTCTAAAAAGGGCTTTCGATGGTATCCTACTGTGAACTGCTAGAAAAAGTTCCTTATTGTGATGTCACAATGAGGGAAATTAGCATGCATGCGCTCACATACGCACGCACACCTGCACACGCACACCTGCACACGAACACACACACACACACACACACACACACACACACACACACACACACACACACACAATGGTGAGTTCAAAGACTGAGAAGTCTGTCAGATGTTTTACATTCTTGTCTGTGGTGCATTCACTCCAGCCAATTTTTGGTACATCACAATGTTTTTCCTGTTACTCAACTTGTTGTTTATGTCCGCAATGACATGATTAATATCATAAAATCAGACCAGCCCTCCATTCTATACCAAAAGGGAGGCTCATCAATTATAATAATTACTGCAGCAGTGAAATCCATCGCCTGACCTGGCAGAGCTGTAAACTCAGGCTATGTGAAACCCAAAGGTCAGGGTGAAGAAGCGCTGATGGAGGCAGAAGCATTACAAGACTTTAGGCTGAGGATGACAATGACAAATCATTAGTCTGGTTTAGAGTGTTGAAGTGAGGAGGTAAGGTTAGAAATGATAACTTCATGTTTCACATACATTCGCTTCAACTCTGATGAAAGCAGAAAGCATGTTGCTGAGCAACACACTCAGAAAAGAAGAAAGTCTTCAAATGTCATCCCCTTTTAGTTAGAGGCATACTGCTCAGTGTCTGGTTCAGCAAACACTTGACCAGCTTTGATCAAATTTGTCACGTAGATCTTCGGATGTATGGGGCCAAATGTGGAGAACATCCTGCTCTACAGCAAAAACACAACAAGCTAGCAGTTATGGGAAGTGGATGTTTCTGCTGAGTTCATGGGATGCAATATCACCAGTTTTTTTAACATCCATTAAACTGGATCTATTACCCAAAGTGGGTTGGGACTTGCAGATTTGAGGAGGTATGTCTTCCTCATGTGTTAAACCAGCTTTTCTCAGGAACACCATTTCTCTGTGGCCATTACAACATTACTGATATACATAGGAAAGCAGGTCGGAGAAAGCACTACTTTTTGGTACGCTACATTAGCCACCCCAAGTTAGCTGCTATATTTGGAAATTTGGAAAACAAATGAGCTTATAGGTTCCATATCATGCTATTTTAAACCTCTGCAAAAAATGGTAGGCACAGTACATGATCAAATATTACCATTGGCACTATTCAGACATCATTTATCTTAGACTTGTTTAGACAAGCTTCTGCGATGTCACCAACGATTTATTATCAACCAGTTTTGCATTAATGTTTCACCAAGATCTTGCATTGATGATGGTAGAGTCAGACCACTGCACAAAGCCTTCTCCAACACATTCCAGAGATTCTCAATGGGGTTAAGGTCTGGACTCTGTGGTGGCCGATCCATGTGTGAAAATGATGTCTCATGGTCCCTGAACCACTCTGACTATTTTGAGCACAAAGAATCCTGGCATTGTCATCTTGGAATACGCCCATGCCATCAGGGAAGTAGGGCTGCTACAAACGACTATTTTAATAGTCGACTAATCACCAGTTTTGTTGACGACTGGTCGATGAATCATGTCATGCATAAAAGCATAGCTTATTGCACCAGGATGCTCTAGTATCCCCATCATTAGCTTCTAGTTTGAAGTGTGATCAGTTACGTGCCATCTAATAACGACATGATGATAGCTTATCAAACAACGTTTAATTAACTTAGTAGGGCTGCACGATATTAGGAAAACCTGCGATATCCGATAACAGTGCTTAATATTGCGATATCGATATTACTCACGATAAATGAACAAATACTAAAGTATGCAGTGTTGATGTTGTCTGGCGTGTGACGTCTGCTCTGGGTTCAAAGGAAACCAAAACTAATGCATGAATTCCATGACAACATAACATTTTTATTGCAAAAATATGCAGCTGCACCTGCTACTGTATTAGCAGCAAAACAACAAACTGCATGCATGCAGTTTCTCTGTGACTTTAAAACATCACCGCCACTATAAAACTTTTTCTGATGCTCCAAATACAGAAAAACATCCCTTACCAGGGTTTTTTGAACAAATAAAATAAAATCAGAAAATAAGTTTAAATGTTAAATAATAGTTAACATCACTTAAATGCAACAGCAAATTCTCTCATTGCTACTGAACATTTTCTCCACTTATGTGGTTATGATATAAGGCTGTTGCTGCAATTGGGAAGTGAACTGTGCTGGGCCAAACTAGGAGAATATTAAGATTTTCTGAGGGAAAGAGAAACACAATTGTCTACCTTTCAGAAGAGGAACTGGCAAGAAACTACATGGAAAATATGTGAAAACGTTTGGTTTTAACCCCAAATTGAACAAGTTTACCTGGATCTTAAAAAGCAGCTCAGATGATGAAACTGCAACTATGATTCTGATAACAAGCTAACAAATTGAACTAGCTCATAAATGAAAAATCACTTTGATGTGTGGGGGAACTTTTCCAGGCCCTCTTTAGCAGGGTGGGACTGGGAGGAGAGTGCTGTAGCCTTTTAGCTGGAAGCTAACCGGAGCCTGGGGCTACCGTCACCACCCGGTGGAACACCAGCGACATGGAGGTAGGTGGGTTGGTTCACCGGCACGTGTCGGAGTCAGCCCGGTTACTATCAGCTGCTTGACGACACCGAGTGGACTCACGTTCACGTTTGAAAGCAGCACTGATTCCAGAAACCTCTGCACAAAGTGCGTTCGTTAATCTGAGCCAGCATGACGAACAAGGGAAGCGAGCGGCAGCGGAAAGCGGGGACGGAGCGGAGATAGTGGAATTTTGGGGTAAGGGTCTACGTAGGGGGCGGGCGTATTACGTGAACGGACCCATCTGATTGGCCGCATATCAGAGGGGCTACATTTGATTGGTCAAATAATACTTCAGCGTAAAAAACAGAGCTGGATTACAAAAAGTTGAAGTATGACACGGATGGAAATGTTTGAACCAAACATTTATCGCCGTTTTTGACGTGCTTTGCGATGGGCCTATCACACGTCCTGTTATCGCGATGACGATAATTTTTCGATATATTGTGCAGCCCTATAACTTAGTAACCTGTTAATGCAAATGCTACAGTCAAATGGAGGTAGGCACCTAAAACCTAAATTTATTGTACTAAAATATAGACTTATGTAGGGCTGCTCGATTATGGCAAAAATAATAATCACGATTATTGTGACAGAAATTGAGATCTTGATTATTTAAGACGATTTTTCAATTTATATTGATTTTCTTTGTTTTTATTCAGTCATAAAATTGCTCAGGGCACAATCAGGACAAAAATAAATAAACAAGATGATCACTAAAATAACTCCTGATTCCCAGTATAAAAAGACCAATATACTTATAGCTCATAGTTTATGACCCAAGGGCTATAGACCTTGGTTTAACTCATTTAAGTCTAACCAGTACAGACTCAAATACCAATATCTTGCAAATACTGACAGCAAGAATTATACAGTGGCATTTATAATAAATAAATGCAAATAAATTGATGTTCACAAAATGTTGCATAACGTTTTAGTCGTGTCAAGGTGCTGTAGGAGAGTCCACTAGCACCGTGTCCTCAGAGAGATTAGTTATTATTTATCAGCGTGAGGAACTTATTTCTATCTATTTCTACCTTATTTGCCATTGCATTATACAAAAACTCTTTGAAGACTTGATTATTATTATTATTCTGAGCTACTAGACCAATCAATTTCCCTCTGGGATTAATAAAGTATTTTGAATTGAATTGAATTTATAAACTATTTGTTTACAGGTCCATCAGTTAATGTAATAATTGTCCCAACCACAGCTGCACCCCCCACCCCCCAACCCGGTCTCAGAGCAATCAGGGGCAAGCTGCACGAGTGTTTAGCGCACCGCACACGCACATTAGCCGTTTTTAGCGGCTCAGGAGTCCGCAGGTACGGTGTGCGTCACTCACTCTGGTTAATTCAACAGGGAGCCGGCTCTGAGAGCCATTTCTTTAG